CCTCTTGTTTCTCTATGAGGACAGGAAATAAGATAAATGAAATTTTTTCTCTTATTTCTTTTTACGCAAATGCGGTTGGTAAACATATTTTATACACATGTTGTGTACACTCCCTAATTGTGTATCTATGGAGTTAATTCGTTCAAAAGTTGCCTAAACAGACGACTAAAAAGAGTGTATACAAAAGGTGTACAAAATAGGTGTACACAAAAAATGGTTTTTTCTTATTCATTTCCCTTCAAGTCCTAATCAAACTAATTAAACAAATGATAACTTGACGTGAGGGTCAAAGAAGCTAGGTGAAACAAATGATAGAAAGACTGAAACGGTGAAAAAAAATTACAGAGTACAATTTTCATCAAAAAAATATTTACAGTTAACATGAATTATCATTTTAGTGCCGGGTATGCCGGCCGGTTCGATCTCCGTTTTTTAAATTTTTTAATTAGCTTTTTAATGTATTTATATTCTTTTAAAATGCTTATAAACAAATGAATTATCATTTAATCGGGAGTGTTCATGTAACCCCCACCCAAAAATTTTAAAATACATGTTAAGAATTGATGTAATAAATTTTTATGTAATGTTTTAATGGTAAAAAAAATTGAACACCCAAAATCTAGTTGCACCAGTGAAGTGTAAAAATTGTTCAATATATATAGATAAAAAGAATTCAAAATACATTATTCTCCTGACTACATAGATTATTGGAGTGGGATAATGGGTAGGAGGATTGGTACATCCTAAGAGATCTCAATACATTTATGTACGAAAATACGGGAGTCGGAACTCCCAATTCCGACAACGGGTAGGGTTTGCTAACACAAGGCACTAATACCAGTCGGATTCCCCAATTCCGACATAAAGTATTACTCCGTATTACTACCTCCGTTCTCTTTTAAATGCAACGTTGGACTTTTTGCACTATTCACATGTTCTACTTTGACTACGTTTTATTTATCAATGTAATAATATATATTTTTGAAAAAAATATTTTAAAATTTTTCTCATTATAAATTTTCAAAATTTATTTTTTAAACTTTTTTTACTAATCGGGAATTATATATATTAATGGTCAAAGTTGTGTCTCGGCAAATGTGAAATGTTGACTGTTGCATTTATTTAAGAACGGAGGAAGTATTATTTTATATGGGGTATGTTTGGCAAATGGCTTATCAGCCGGCTTTTAGCTTATTTGACACATTTCAGTTGTTTGATTGGTCAAAGAAACTAATAATGATGTTTGGTAAATGACTTTTAAAATTAGCTTGTTGAGTTTGAAAAGCTGAAAAAATGGATTGTTGAAGAAGCTAAGGGGAGCAGCTTCTTCATTCGGCTAGTTCAATTTACACTCTATCAGCCATTTCGAAACAACCAATTTTACCAAACGGTTATCTATAATCAGCTAACATATATAACCAGCCGGTCAAAATAGCTAACACAACCAGCTGTTAGGAAATAGCTGACACAACCAGATAACAACAACAGCTAACAACCATTTGCCAAACATACCCATGATGGTTGCAAACAAAGTATGCCGACTTAAGTATTATTAGTATTATTATTTTAAATATTATTTTAAATATGACGGTTGGTAACAAAGTATGGAGGATAGGGTGCTGGTCAGAATTGAAGAATCCAAGTAATGTATTTTTATTTTATTTTTAAATTATGGTCAAAACTGAAAATACTCATTGGGTAGAATCCAAAGATATGGGTCCGCAAAAAATTAATTGAAAAAGTGGAAAATTCATCACATAAATGGCATAAAATTTAATTAATTAGATAAAATACATCAGATAAAATTCATCAGATAAGAGTAGTCCACTTTATTAATCATATATTTCATTTTTAGAACTTTTAATTAATAATAGTACATTATACTAGTCAGATAAATTTTAATCAAATAAAAATTCATTAGATAAAATTTATCATATACGATTTCATGCAACACACCTACACACTTTATTAGGTAAAATTTAATCAAATAAAATTTATCTGATAAAAATTAACTCATAAAATTTAATCACATACAAAAAAATCAGATTAAACAAAATCAAAATTGAATTTCTTTTGATAAATATATTTCACAACTACTCCGTAATACGGATGAGTTAATTAAAACATAACATAAAAGAGCCCTATTATATTTAAAATGTTGTTCGTATAATATAAAAATAAAAAATCTAAATAAAACACCAAATAACACTTATTTGGAATCTCCATTTACGAAGTGGACACTAAAAATTAAAAGTGATGAGCTGGTCGGAAGCTCCAATTCCGACTGGAGGGTTTTAAAAAAATAAAATAAATGTGGTCGGAATAGCCACTTCCCAATACAAAAACTCCCGTAATTTGAGAAACCCTACAAAAATGCCCGTATTTTCGCACCACATGTTCTATTTTCCCGTGTTTTGGGAAAACACCCTTTCTTTCTCTATACGGTATTAATGACGTGTATGACGTGTATTTCTTCTAATAATGCAATCCGTTTTTTTGCAATGCTCCAAATACTAAATAGCATACTAAAAACTACATATATACATGCATGCATGGGGTACTTCTAAACAGCTGTCCTTCCACTACGGGTTTCTAATTTTCACTCGTCCCTTTCCTAACATCCCTTCCCTTGTGTCACATTATAGGACATCCCCACTTTTATTCAATACTCCGTAATTAGTACTTCTATGTGGATGCATAAAATATATCCTGTCACACAAATTTTTATTCATAAATTAGTACTTGAGTCAAATTTTATTAACTTTGACTGCTAATTATTTAAAAATTGTATTACTTTATTATTAAATATTTATTACTGCAAATGTTATTACTTTATCGTCCGAAAACAGTCTCTATGATTTAGTATAAGGATAATGTTATGTACATATATACGACCTTCCTTACTCTAATGTAGGTGAGAGCTTTTGCGGCACTATAGTAATGTTCTTGTATACTCTGATCTGTATATTATTGAATTGTTAGTTTATTATAAATTTATAAGCATATATTTTAATACTCCGTATATATATCAATAGTCAAACGTTGATATCGTGAACTTGACACTACAAAAAAAATACGGGATTGGTAGATATTTTTGGCAGAAATTTTCTAAAATTGGTAGGGATTTTGGCAGGGATATGCCAAATCCGTGCCAAAAACAGTTTGGCACAAGTTATTTGGCACGAAATAATTGGTAAATCCTTGCCAAATTCGTGTCAATCCCGTAATTTTTTGTAGTGTACTTGAGGTAGCATATAATACTCCACACAGTGGCATATTCACTATGGGGCCAGCGGGGGCAGCTGCCCCCACTCAACCCCAAACCAACCCCTATATATATCCAAATTTTTACAAGAAATTGCTCAAATTAAGAGTTAAATGTAGGAAAAAAATTCTAAAATAGGATTAGAAGTGTTTTCTTTAATATTAAAAGAATGAAAGACTAAAAATTCACTAAATTTTGTTATGTTTAAGACTGTTTAACTTATATTTAGGTAAATTTATTACATTTTATCTGCAATTATATCTTTACACACCCGTAATATAAATGAATCTTCTTTTTATTCATACTTGTACATAGATATTATAAACTAAATTTAATCAAACAATATTAATAATGTGATTTGTTATTTGTGAAATATGAGACTAAATTGTAGTCAAGTTTGCCCCTACTCGCCAAATTTTCTGGATATGCCACTGACTCCACGTATATACTCCATATAATAATCCATATAATATACTCCATTGAGGTAGTATATACTACGTATATACTCCATATTCCATAATAATCCATACAATACTCAGTGTCAACCAACATGAGAACACGTTATGTTTTCAAATAAACTAACCATCAGAGATTCAGAGTGGTGTGCCCCTACATGGATTCCAAGTCCTATACACCCATTGGCTAGCTACGAAATTCCTTACCAACAAATAAAAATGCATCATCGCAATCCCACTACTGATTTCAAAGATTTTAATGTTTGTACGTCTTCAAAAGCCCAGCTGTATATCAAGTTTAATTTGTACCCCATTTGTCTTCAAAATATGAATTTACGCATAATTCATTAAAGCATCAAGAATATTTGCAACCAAAATTAGAAAAATAAGTTAATTATAGGGAACAAACTCCAACTTGAAAGAAAAAATAATAAAATATTGTACACGTTCTCAACATTGGAGTGCCGAGTGCAAATATGTAATATTGATTATCTTGAAAGTGGAATAGAGCGCAAATTTGACCCGTACGTAAATACGTAATCAAAGAGTGCAAAGTGATCCACTCTGATATAATAAAAAATAAATGAAATATAATAATATACTACGTAATAAAAAATAATATACTTCGTATACAAGTGTGTTGAATTTGAGATATAAATTAAAACAAGTACCAAGAGTATGAAAAGGTGATAAATGATGCGATGTCAAATTTACAATTAGGATGTTTTAAATTGAATTAGGTAGTATAATTTTTTTATCTAGTCTAATCTGATTTGGTCAGTTTAAATCTAATCTGATTTGATCTGGTAGATTTCTATTATATGTGTATTTTACAACTGTCAAAATCTAGTATGGTCAATAAGTCTGATCTGATCTAATATGGGATTGAAACCAATCCAATAAAAAGTAAAAACATCCTTGATTGAAATTTTATGTCCTATGTAAAAGTGCAATAGGCTATGTTTGAAGAAATGAGCTGAACGGGAGACTATTGTCTTATCAGAGACTATTATCTAGAGCTAAAGCTAATTAGAAGTTTGTGAAATTGAAATATTTACCGAATGAAAAAGACTTGTTTGAAAACACGGTTGAAATCAAGACTAAAATGTAAAAGTGCCATGAAATAAATGTTAACGTAAATAAGATGAAATTTGAATAATGGGAGAGTAAAGTCGAATTATGTGTGTGTGAGGATCAAATAAAAAAAGTATTATCTATTAAAATGAGAATAAATCTATTGTATTTTGTTTGAGATATAATGGCTCAAAATATACCAACAATGCAGCATAGTCAGTAAAAAATATGGTGACAATTTGGTAACTCAACCAAATTTTCTGTAATCAGAGAACAATGTACCAAACAAACTTAATAATAATGGACAAAAGTGAGTAAATAGTGCAACGGCATTTGTCACATCACTCCTCTTATTAGAGCTACATGATACACACATATATAGAGAATTATAGATTAAAAAACCAGTGAGGAACACTTTACTTTGTGCAACTGTTTTTCTAGCTGGACGCCTTTTCTTCTCCTGGAAACTACTGTGTTTTGTTTCATGCAAGGATTTGTTCTGAGGTACCTCCCAAAAGACTTCATTCTTATGGGTGAGGTTTACAGTCCTAAGAATACGTATATGGGCATTCAGTTCGTTTTGGTTGCAACCCAGAATATTCATTCCCACATGACTCGGCAAACCCTTTGTTTTCTGCTCTGAGCTTCTTCTCTATGCATTTTATGTTATTACTTTAGCCAAGTACGGTTAGTTGAGAGCTATGTCAAAAAAGAACAACTGGCTTACAAGCATTTTGAAGAGATTTTTCATTTCAGAGGCAGAATTCAGACCTGAAAAGGTATTAAAAAACAAAACAAAAATGCTCATGCATGTAAATTAAATGAGAGTATATTAATTATCTATCAGATGGATGCTCTTATTATTATATCTCTAACCTTGAATAAATTATTGTACATATCTGCATTTGCTGGTCTGGCAGGGGAAGAGAAAGAGATGGATACTAGGGTTGTTCTCAGAACGGAGTAAAAAAGAAGCGGCTTCAACAAGTACTGACAATCAGCATAAGCAGCGGCAGCAGGAGGATGAAGTCCCAGATTTATTCGAGCTCAGAATCCTGGCTGCCATTAAAATCCAGACTGCTTTTCGTGGTTATCTCGTAAGTTCAACGTTACTTCATACTTGTGTGAATCTTGGTGCAGTTCTCGATCTGCATTTTATATTATGGCCTAGCTGGTGGGAGAGATGGACACATTTATTTCATTCAATTCAATATAATCAAAGATCACCACTAGTCCACTACTATTGTTTCACAACTATTGGTTATCTCGTAAGTTTTTTTTTGCACGCCGCAGGGAAGAAAAGCTTTGCGGGCGATGAAAGGAATAGTAAGGCTTCAAGCTATGGTTCGAGGCCAAGCTGTTCGACGCCAAGCTGTTTTGACCCTCCAACGCTTGCAATCGGTCGTAGACATCCAATCACAAGTCCGCGAAAGAGGCTACATCATCACAAACATTTCAAATGAGAAGGACATTAAGGTTAGTAACACAAGACCCTAAGGTTGATATGTTGGTTTATACTTTTTTCAATATTTGTTCAACATGAGATATCTAAGAAAATAAGCCCCAGCTTCTACAATGGATTGGACATTTTTTTATTGAAAATTTACATAATGACTAAAGTAAACTTACACACAGATAGATTTGAACAGCAGCCACAAAATGTGGGACTACAGAGCTGTGTCAAAGGAAGATGCAAATACCATGTCCCTAAGCAAGAGGGAGGCCTCCTTCAAGAGAGAACGTATAAAGGAGTACTGGTTATGTCATCGGGTCTGTATATATATACATATGTACCATGCAAGATGCATCTAAATTACATTCTCGTCAACACCAGAACCGGATAACCACAAGATAACCTCACTTTTCCAAATTCCCCTTGGTTAACGAAATAGTACGTACTTCCAAAAAAAAAAAATAGCCAGTCAGATTGCATAATTAATAAGGCTATTCTAAAGTTGGTCTATGTTTAATAAGGTATGAAGCTCTTGTGCTTACTTTTTATGCTCAAATCAACTCACATTCTTTTATTTTTTCAGTTTTCAATTAACCATGAAGCGAAAACCTGTTAACCAATTTAACAGAAGACCTAATGGCATTGAAAATGTCCCAATCAAAACACCAATTAACTGCAACACTGGTTGACCAACCATGCCCCTAATTTCATATCAAAGATTTAGTATTTTTAATCAAAAAATAACTAAAAATATATAATATATATCCAGAAGTCAACTTCAGAGTCGGAAAAAAGTAAAATTCATACAAGAAGATACTGGCTGGAAGACTGGGTAGATTCGGAGCTAGCTAAAATAGAAGAAGACGGTAAAGCTCTGGATGGTGTTTGCACAAGCGGGGGAATACGAGAGATGAGTAGTTTGGTATCTCCAAGAGCGCAAAATGGAGGAAGAAGGCTGTCATTTCACCACCACCACAAAAGGCAGCACTCCATCAGTGTGGCATCGTCTCCTGCTGCAGCAAATAATACCATGCAGCAGCAGCTTCCAGCTTATATGGCGTCCACGAAATCAGTTGAAGCAAAGGCTAGATCAATGAGCACACCAAGGCTACGGCCAATGCACCACTTTGATCTTTACTCTACTATTTCTGACAATGATTCTCCATTTAAGTACAAATATAAGCTCTCACCTGTTATCCGTAATGAAGCCAGAGCAACAAAAAACAGCAGCATGGTTGGAGGTCGTCATCATCGTTCAAGTTTCACTCAAAGATCGCTGCACTCTTAAACAGCACCTTGCAGTAGCTGATGTTCCTCCTAAGTCCTACGTCAAACCAAATTTCTTATTCTAAAGCATGTTAGTTAAAATTGGAGCCAACGCTCTCATTATTATGGACATATTGTAATACATTGGGTTCATGCATGCCTTTTTAAGCTTCAGAGTTTTCTTTTTTGGATGCTTGGTAAATGTTTATAAGGTTCTGATCGCAGTAAAATCAATTTCACAAAAATGAACATGCTTGTATTCATGTGTGTATGTATGGCACTATGGCTCATCAAACATTAAACATGGAAAAGGAGCTAGGGTCCCTGAACGAGAGTAATATTACTGTGCAAGATTCTAACAATGTCTTAATAAGGCTTCCTCAGCTCATGGAACTGAGCTGCGTATTATAGGTGTAAATGCCACATCAACACATATAAATTCTGCAGTACTGTAAGCAGCTGCGTATACATCAATATTTTGAAGTAATAATAATGTAGAATGCAGAAACCATTTGAACAGGTGCAGAGTAGGAATGTAATGGATTAGAGAAGACTGGTATATAACAAGTATGATTTTACTCCAGCGCACCAGATTTGGTACAAAATAACTGAGATAAAGAATGATGGATATAATGATATTGTAGGTGAAATATTAACCACAGTACATGCCAACATTTCAAATGGAAAGCAAAATGGCCTGAGGAATGGAATGAATGTAGAAATCAGACTCAAACCCATCAATGCTTGCAAACAGCAGACTTAAATGAAGTGTCTCTTTTTCTATCTCTCTGTTTCATGTTGCTACCTGTCCTTTTCCAAGTATAAACTCCAATACTTCTTGAACAGAACTTGTATCTCATTAAAAGACTGAGTTTAGAATGGAAAGTAACATATTCTCTAAATTTAGAAGTGGAAAATTTGACTCCCTACTTGAAACACCAAAGCAGTACACTATATATGATAAACAAAAAATGCATTGTATATATTCTTTGCATATTTGTAGCTCAATTTCACTGCCATAAATTCCATCGGATATATCAGTCCAAATACATTTTCATAACCCATAATAATAGAAATGTATTAACACAAAATCCCAACATTCACCTGAACTCCCCGAAGTTCTTGGGGGTTGTAGTGATCCTCAAATGCATCATCAAGGTTCAGCAAGTTTGTATTCATTTCGGGGGGGGGGGGGGGGGGGGGGGCACAAAATAATAATTTATGAAGTGTTTTAGCGTCCATTAAAATCAAATATTACAGATAAATTCCAAGACAACCAGCTCCAGAATTTACCTACGTTGAAAATACTTTCCTTAAGGTTGCACACCTATTAACACCATACAGGGTAAAAGCCCTATGTGGATGGAGTATCTGCTTGTCGTTTGGGCCGATTAGGTCTACATGAACTTTCTGTCTCTTCCTTTGGAGAAGTTCCAGCAGCATCACCATCATCTTCCTCTGATTCCAATATTGACTGCTCTATAACAAGCTAGTTACACAAAAACCACACTTCATCATTCTTGAAGTGGATGCTAGATATAATTTACTCTTATAATTACTCCTTACCATTAAAGAGACATGTCTTGTGTGTATTATTAAAGCCAATACTCGATTTTAACGGTATTGCTATTTACCATTGAAAAAAATATTATTCCATATTGTAATTAAATGTACCCACTCTCCCACACTTATGTTTCACTATGAATACCATGCACACTTAGGCTAGTCAGTTTTTGCTTTTGTCTTCCCAACTTTGCTCCGACTTACATTTTTTACTTTTATGGACATGAGAACCTAATTTCAAGACATTCACAGGGAGCATTATTTTAAAAGTAAAATTGTGTGTGAGTAAGATTTTTTGTACTTGAAATTTATCCATGTAGGTCATTTACAAGTTGATCACCAAAAGCATGAAAAGGTAGTTTAAAAAGTTGATCACCATAAATGTGAAAAGGCATGAGTAAGTCTAACTGCTAAAGACGTGTAATGGCACAATCTAAACACAAAAGGTGAACTTTTTTTATTTAGTTATATTTTTTTTTTTTAAGTTAAACCAATATTGAAACTATTTCTCACTTGTGATAACTTTGTAACTCTATTAGTTTTTCCATGTGTAAATTTAAGGCTTGGACTTCCCTCCTCTCCATGCCTCATGCGTTTTAGAGCCTTATTCTACACATATCACCAACTACAAAGAGACTATGGTCTTGTTCGGCTGTTGGCAGATTGATTTGGGATATTTGGTTAGATGATTGGTCTAAGACTTTAAGTTTCCTCTTTAGTACTGCTTCTGTCCTACAAAGATACTCTATTATTCAAATTTGGTCAGTCTCAGTCCTATAAATATACTACTCCAGTTACCAGTTACCACATTGAGCATATCAATAGTTCTTTAGAAATTGCCTCAAATAGGAGTAAAAATGTCTGTAATTCCATAATAGGACTACTATGTTTTGTATTTCCTTAGTTCTTAATTTTTTATGTATGGCCTTAATTAATCTCTTCTGGTACTGCTCACGTGTATTAGCTGAGTAATACACTAATACTCATTCTAGTTCGCAATAAGTATATTTTTTGAAAAAATCACACTACTTAAGAGTTAAGAATAAGAGTAGAATATCTAAAAACCAGCTGATTAATTACTTCATTAGTGAGATAGGAAGTCACAACAATGCAGACCATGTGTACATTAGGAACAATCAGTAACTTTTCATCATCATCATTTACCCCAGTGCCGCAAAGGCTCCCACCGACGGTGGGGTAAGGGGGTCGGATGTACGCAATCTTACCCCTGTATTAAAGCACAGAGAGACTGTTTCCGGATGACCCATAATGAAAATCGCGTCCGAAATTGCATGGACTGACTGCTGCTTCATAACAAAGAAGAACAAACAGTTTGGTGAGCCATTTTGTTTTATTCCATCATATTCTCACGCCAAAAAATAATGAATCTTTGGCTCCATTGCAAGTGATGGAAAAGAACAATCAGTAAACTTTTATATAGAAAAAAATGGAACATTGACAAAGAAACTTATTTTGAACAAGAGGGGGAATAATTAATGAATAATGAGACATCGAAGGATGTTTGGATCTGGTTCTAGGAAGTAAAAACTAACTCTACTCCATCAAGGAGAAGATGAGAGGATCACTTGGAAGCAGAATAGTTTTGTAGGTGTTTGCCAAATACTCTTGAAAGGTGAAGCACTTCTACCTAGCATCTAAAGAGTGTTTGCAATTGTTTGGAAAAAAACTCTTGTGCTTTTTACCTAAAAGAAGATAAAGGTAGTGTTTCAAAAAAGTACTTATGCTTATCTTTAATCCCTTTAAAGTTAAAAGTTGTAAACAGGTGCTTCAATCACGTTTTCTACAATGTTTCATTTTACAAGTACCCAAAAAAATACTGAATGCTCTAACTTCAACTTTTGGGAATCATTTTATTTTCAAACACTACGAACTTTCACCACTACACACTTTCTCTATAATTTCTAAAAGTAGTCACTTATCACAAGCGCAAGCAAACTTGGAATCACTTCTCTAGAACTAACTTTGGTGCTTGATAGTTAGTTCATAGAATGCCCTTTATCAAATACAGTTTTTTTATCGTCTTTATCAAATACAGTTAAGATAAATAAAACATATACTGCATCGCGTATCTACTTAAATTTGACTAGGACATGCTAAGCAAATTTTATTCTAACATCAAATAACTTATTGGATTTACTGTATGCAGAAATATATGCTTACTGTAAGTCTGTAATGCAGTATTCTGTATACATTAGCAGGAACATTAAAGCCAAGTAGTCAATGGAGCACGCAGCACCTTATGTATCACTAGAACGAATTTAAAGCCAACATGAAAGCAACTCAAAGCCAAATCGTTTAAGTTATATTTTTTATAATTTTTATTTTTTATTTGGGGGGGGGGGGGGGGTCTTGGACTAAAAGGGAGGAGGACGTATATCTTACTTTAAGCAAATATTACTTTACTTAAGCTCAATAATTTCCCAAAGAGAAGGTCACAGGTTCGAGTCCCATCAATAATTAATAAGGGCGCTTATTATAATAGGCTTAGAAGAATATTCAAAAAAAAAGCTCAATAATTTTAAAAATATAAAATGATTGAAGTAGTGTATACTCAAGAATCCAGATACTGATCATTAATTTATTACCACCACAAACAATATATAGCTTTCTTAGTTTTAAATAAAACCTGTTTCCTCTCTCCCTTCTCTTCTCTTCTCTTCTCTCCTTTTAGAGAATTAGAAGATTTCGAAGTGCAGTGATATGATGGGATGTTTGGAACGGATTTTTAATACTGGTTCTACCCATTCAAAGAGCACTGAGAAGTAGAATCAGTTTGATGAATATATATTTAGAAGCACCTCTTGAAGGTTAGAACCTCAAGAAACTGGTCCTGATTGCAAATAGATTATCACCTCCGATAAAGTTTTTATTGGTACCTCTTCCATGAACTTCTGATCGAGCTTATCAGCGATGCGGATGGAAGTGAGGACGGTGACGGCAAGCAGGGTCATGGGGAAAAGAAAGGCAAATATGTAGTTGCTGGTCCCGGCGCGCGTCACTACCGAGCTGCCTCTTCTCCTCTGACTCCGCTGCGAGCGGAGTTGAAGATTGTTGGAAATACTCGGAGGCGGAGCTACGGAGAGTAGAGATGAGCGGTGTGCGCTATAGGAAACAGAAAGCCTGGGGCAATTGAAAATGCGGGATGATGCCAATGGATGTAGACCCGCCATGGATGCTTTATCAGCTCAACTTCAAAGTTCAAACATTCATGGGCGAGATTCCGTCCGTCCAAAACAAAATGATGGCCAAAAGGAAGTGCTTAATCATGAAATCTAGTTTATGTAGATCAAACTTCTACAAATTTCATACATTGCTTTTTCAAAACAGAAATTGTTGTTGTGCACCCTCTTTATTTACCATTCGCATAGATAAAAAAAAAAAGTACAAAGATAAATTAATTTGTTGATTTTTTTTTTTGAAAAAAATTAATTTGTTGATTGATATACCTTTTTGCAGATCTGTCAGGATGATTGCACGGAAACTAATGTCGGTGTACATAGACATTAGTTATGTGTGTAGACAAAAAATATATGTACATATACAGCTTTGTCTATGTACACAGACATTTGTTTCGGTACAATTTAACCCTAACTTTTTCTTTATCATTTTTGTCCGTGTGCAGACACTGAAAGAAAATCAGTGGCTGTGTAGATATATATTTTTTTATGGAGAAAATTTATAGAATGTTACTAGTTTTTCCTTTCACCTTTCACTACAAACAATATTTATCATTATTTAGCACCATACAAACAAGAATTCTGGCGGCTCTAACACTCCGATGAGTTTTTGGGAAATTTTCCGATGAAAATGGCGATGGAAGATGATAATAAAGATGATGACGGAAGGTGATGGTGAATAAAATGTAAAAAGAAAGAAAAATAGAGAAGGAAAGAAAAAGAAGAAGACTAAAATGATGAAAAAGAAGGAGAAAGGAAGAAAGAAAGATGAAAGAACAAGATGAAGATGAGGAAGGAGAAAGAAAGAAGAAAGAGAAAGTGCGGAAGGAGGAAAGAGGAAATAAAAATGGGAGATTATACAAGGTATACCCATAGGTGTAACCTAGGGTGTGCCTAAAGAATTTTTCTTTATCTATATATCAAAACTTTGATTCCAAAAACTATTATAGTCTACTTATTAAAAATTTAAACCTAAAGTATCTCTTAAAAGTAAATGTCTGATGTCGTCGACGAGCAATTCAAACATTTTGTTATGTTGTTACGGCAACTACATCATATATATACTTGACACAGTGTATAGTGTTAATTCATAATAAAATCATAAAAAATAATTAAAAACATAAAAAATAAAAAGAAATTAAAACAAAAGTATTTATAAAATAATACTACCTCCGTCACAAAACACTTTGCAAATTCAAAGAATTTGTACCATGGTTTTGATTAGTATTATACTATGGAAGTTATAAATTTTATACTTTTATAAAAATACTTTTAACGAAGAACATTTTCATATATTTTTATATTATAAATAATTTTCAATAAAAATATATAGTTAGTCGAAGCTTTGAAAATGACAAAGTTTTTTGGGATGGAGGTAGTATTTTAAAAAAACTAAAAAAAAACGCCACCGCCTCTGCCACCCCAGTACCACCACCTCCGGTCACCTGGGAAAAAATGTCACATGCATTAGGAATGCCGTATCTATGGGAGATTCAGTGAAAACTTTGGCATTCTCAAAGAGTAATATGCTATTTTCTGACATTTTCAGAAGAAAAAAAATGGCACTTTTTTACAAAAATGACATTTTTTTGCACCGGTCGGAGGTGGTCGTACAGGGAGGCAGTACAGGCGGTGGGAAAAGCATCCATTTTTTTTGGTTTTTTAATATTTTTTATTAATTCTAATTTTTTTTAAAAAGTAATTTTTTTATAAAAATTTTATTAATTTTTAATTTTGTAAATATTTGTTAATTTTTTATTATTTTTCTATGATTTTTATTATTTTTTACGATGTTATTATCGATTAAAACATTTAATTATAACTTTTAACTACCTTTTACGTTTTACTCATATTTAAATAAGGGTTAAGAATGGAATGAAAAAATAGGTATGTTTCTAAATAAGAGTAATATGATCTTATTTTGAAATAAAAACATAAGAAGTCCTATTATTTATTTTGACCACAATTTTATTCCTATTTGGGGTACTTTCTAAATTCAGAACCATGTAATCATTCTTCTAACACTATATATACATTTGTTTTACCTTTCTGCGAAAGCGTGAATTATATGTTTAATACTTCAAATATATTTTGTTTATTTTGACAATAAAAAGTGGCATGGGAGATGCCTTTTGCAACAACATTGTGATGCCTTTTGTGATGTTAAAGTGGTTTCATAACAAAGGAAGTACCCATACAAATACAAATATTATACTCCCTTCCGTCCCTATATAAAGAGCATGTTTGCTTTTACACACATTTTTAGGAGGAACACTGTTTGACATTATTTTGCACTGTTTTGTTTACCAAAAAGGGAAATGTGTCTTTTATATACGGATGGCCGAAAAAGGAAAGTGTGCCTTTTATTTAAGGACGGAGCGAGTATTATTTATTTTTTGTATATATAAATGTAGTATTAATAATTTAGAAAATAGAAATTTTATTTCAATTCGAGTTTGAGCATCTAATTCGAACTCAAACCTATAGAAATCAATTATGAGTAGTAGAACTCGACCTGAGCTCGAACCGAATTCGAGTTGAACTCCGGCTCTGTTATCTCCTATGTGATGGCTTCTGAGATGTCCTTGCCAGGGATCACTCTCATTCTCCACCATTCTTCAGCTTCTTGGACTGAGCCACCATGATTGATTATGATCAGACCATCTTTATCTTGAACAAGTTTCTCTTTTTGCAGAGGAGTCATATGCTTCTTCATTTCAGAGAACTGAGCAGAGTCAGGTTTGGACAGATCATTGTTTAGCCATTGATTGAGAGTAAAAGTGGAGGCCGTCTTCTTTCCTTTCTTGGATCGAGGAGGGGGTGGTTTCTGAATTCCTGCAGCAAGCCTTTTCTGTCTGGCTCTCTCAAAGTAGATGGCAGGATCAGAGACAGGTGTGACAGTCAGAGCTCTTATCAATTGAGAGTGAATTCTTATCAAGCTCCATTAATAAGTGAAACGAAACATATTTCCAAAAAGTATAGAACTGAAAGATCGAAATTTTATCCCAACTATGGAGATAATAGTTAGAACCTAGAACAAAAAGTGAAGTGAAACACTTTCTGAAAAGTATAAGAAATGCCGAAATTCGTCCAAACAAAAGACCAGGACAAAATTTTTAACCAATCATATTTCTGAAAGTATATTTACTGATTATGATCACAATAGACACTCTAAAATTTGTTAATCTCTTTTTCTGAGATTCACTCGAGCCTTCTTTTTATTCAGACTTGACAAAAGGGATAGGAGTCATAGAGGAAAATGAAACAAATAACAAAGCATTGCACAATATGTTTGGGTTTTCCTATTTCTTTTTGAAAAATCGATCAAAGATTTGATAAAGAGCTTGAAATAATTGTTAAGATATGAGATATGTTTGGGTCATCCTAAAAGGTCAACAACCTGTTAGAAAGAGTAGCTCAGAACTTAATATAACACTCTGTTGATTCAAACTTTTCTGATTTGAAACTTTATTACCTCTCCTCACGAGTCACGACAAGACACTTCGTCTACCAGACACTTCGTCTGGATCGTGCAATCATTCATTTTTTTCATCGTTTGCCATTGTCATTTTTTTATAATCGTATCATCATTTTTATAAGGGTCTCACAAGTCACACCATGGTTATAGATCGATTTGACTCTAATACCGTGTTAAGATCTTGGTTACTCGTCCTCTCAAGTTGACTTTTTAGGATGGTATATGAGATGTTAACGGTAATGTATCTACTTACATTTTGTTTAATAATCTAAGAACATCTCCCGTTGAAAGTTACCCTTTGTCCATAACATTAGGAAAATAAATACAAAATTTTAGTTATTATTAAATGTAATGAAAAAATATCTATTTGAATAAAAAGATGAGAGAGAACATTGGGTTTGATTCAGTGATTTATGCCCATGTCTAGTTGAGAGTAGGGGTGGACCGGTTCCGGTTCGGGCCTGGGCCCGGCCGGGCCTCGGTTCAGGAATGGGAGGCCCGGAACCGGCCCGGGATTACCCGGGTCCAGGCCGGGCCGGGCCTCGGTTCTATTTTTTTTTTTTGGCTTTTCCTAATTAACCCCCAACCCTCCCTCCAAACCACCTCAAATGGCCCAAAATACTCAGCCCAACCCAAAAACTTAAAAAAAAAATCAAAAAAAAAAAAAATTAATTTGGCCCGAACCGGCCGGGCCGGTTCACCAATCCTAGGGCCCGAGCCCGAACCGCATTCCTACCGGGCCGGGCCGACCCGAACCGCCCCCCGGACCGGTTCCCGGGCCGGGCCGGTTCAAACAGTAACCGGGCCGCCCGGCCCGAGTCCATCCCTAGTTGAGAGTCGTGAACCATACACGAGAGTTGACACTAGGGAATCAAAGAAAAAGTGAATTAGAAAAATTCTTAGAAAATAAATTTGAAAAGTCAACCTATTACCCTACACTTCTACATAACCAAAACCACCATTTCACTTTTTTTTACTTCACACCTTTCACGTATTCTTCACATTTTATCAAATACTCAGTTGAATGCAATTTATGACAGAAACCTATAAATATAATAAAATGTGTAAATTTTCCTATCGTTTTGTTCGCTTACTATTAATACTATAGTATGAGGATGTGATAGGATGTGATATGATCCTAGTATAGTATGAGGAAGTGATATGATTCTTTTTAGGTTAGGTGAGAGTATGGTTTTGGAGGAAGTGATAAATTTGATTTTTACTTATCACTTTTCTCTCTTTCATTTATCTTTTTATCTTCTTTATCTTTCTGTGTTCTTATTTTCTTTTATTTTTCTTATGTGATTTTTGTCTTATATTTACCTTTATCATATGATCATATCCATATCTTATTTTTTTATTTTTTATTTTTCTTAGCTTTCCTCACTTTTTGAATTTGAGTCGTGGATCAATCCATGTTAGCCGATCTCAAAATCTTTTGAAATAAGGCTTTAATGTTTTTTTGTAGTACTATTAATACTGTAGTATGTAAATATTACTACTTAATATAATTAGGGATGGACTCGGGCCGGGCCAACCGGCCCGGAACCGGACCGGCCCGCTACTGTGCGGGCCCGGACCGGCCCGGTGAACCGGTTCGGTTCCGGTTCGGGCCTCCCGGCCCGGTGGTATACCAGTCCGGGCCCGGGCCTCCAGTTTAGTGAACCGGCCCGGCCGGGCCGGGCCCGGTTCGGGCCGGAATTTAATTTTTTTTTTTTTTTTTTGAAATTTTTTTAAGTTTTGGGTTGGATTAGGTATTTTGGGCCATTTGAGGTGGTTTGGGGTGGTTTGGGGTGGAGGGGGAGGGGTAGGGGGTTAAATAAGAGAAGAAGAAGAAAAAAAAAACATTCCGGGTGGCCCGGCCCGGCCCGGCCCGGTTCTGGCCCGGAACCGGAACCGGAACCGCCCACCACCGGTTCGGGCTCGGGCCTCCTTTTTCTGAACCGAGGCCCGGCCGGGCCCAGGCCCGAACCGGGCCCGAACCGGAACCGGTCCACCCCTAAATATAATATAAGTAGGACTCATATGAGTTATATCTTATAACAAAACTTGTGATCTTAATAGGCGGAAAAAAAGTGTGATCTTAAATGGCAAAGTCAATCTTAGTTGGAAGTTTGAAGGTGAGAATATGATATTGTGAGAATGCTACTTCATAGTTTGGATTAGGACTATGGGCTATGGACTATAGGACTAACTTCAAGTTTTATCCAAAGCATGATGACCGCACTTCTATTTCGTGTCCTTTAATTATGATACTCCCTCCGTCCCACTAACAATGGAACAAGAGGAAATGATACGCAAATCTATAAAAAGTTGTTTATATGATTGATATTGAATTGATAAAGTAAGAATAAAGTAAGAATGATTTAGAATCACACAAACTTTACAAACAAGGTATGAGACAATCTTAGTGCCTTAATGGGATAGACCGAAATGGTAAAATGAGACAATCTTAACGGCTGAAGGTACTATTTCATAAATAGACTTTTGAATTAACCATCATAAGACATCTACGGTAAAACTTTTTCTCATTTAAAATACTGTAGTTTATTCACATGTGATTATATGAACAATTACATTTTGTATTTTCTTTTGTATAACTTAATAATTCCACATGCAGATCAGGCCAAACCAAAACAGTTAATTACTTAATTCACAAATCTGTCGTGACATGTTAATATATGGATTGCCAAGAAGACCCCTGTGAATCCAATTTTACCAAGAACATCGGTTAAAGTTTTTGCAAAACAATTAGGTTTAAGCAAGACTGGTTTTGTAACTTTGTTCCGACTTCTGAAACTTCAATTTCAAACATAAAATAAAAGTTGGTAACCTTGTTTCAAGCCTTGGCCATGAATGAAGAACATGCATTAGGAACCTGATGATGTTGCTTGGAAAGCTGAAGAATGTAAAGTCACTTGCCTTGCTCTTGTTTTCTCTACGGCCGGTTGGTATGGCAGATTGCAGGCTTCCTTCTGTTTGTATGGCGAACTGAGGGCTTCCTTATGTCAAGTTACATCAATGCCACTTACTATTTCAGGTGCTACTGATTCAGGAATACCAAACTACCCAGTAATACCACACTCACTGGATCAAAAATATTGAAGTTTATCGAGATGCTTCTCTACATAATGAGCTTTGGATTGTAATATAATTTAAACGTTATACATATGTGTGTGTTTCTGTCATCTGACATGGTTTCAGACAGCGCCACAAAATGAACCCTATTTGGTACATTATGCACATAGCAACATCCATCAGTTGTCTACACCACAGTCCTGAAGAATCTACATAAGCCTTGAAATTCAATTCATGCTGCTAGGATTGCTTGTTCGTACCCTGTCTATAATCATTTGCATACCGGACAAATCTTGGGCATAACCAACGACCTGTCACAAAGCATACTTTCCGTTGAAAAAGTCTGGCCTATAATCCCTCCGTGTAATGCCAAACTCAATTAGCAGTTCATATTGATAAAAGAAGGAACCTGTGACAGTGTCTGGGGATCGCTAAATCCATCAATAATGACAGCAGGCACATCTTCAGTAAGGGACTGAGAGTCTTCCTTTCTCCCAAGCCTGATATAAAGAAAGATAGAATGTCAACTCTCTACCCAATGCAACCGCCGAGTTAACAAGTTTGGCTTCTCAACCTTCTAACCAACAGATGGTAAAAAGAATTAATGCTCAGAAATCAGATGCACAGAGGTTTTCATCACTACAAATAAGAGGTAAGGGCCAATTGAGTACGTCAACTTGTATGAGGTGGAGTAAAGAGTACATTATGTTGCATTTGATATTCATAACACTAAAAACCGAGTTTTGTACTTATGAATGTCAAATGCAACATAATGTACTCTTTACTCCACCTCATACAAGTTGACGTACTCAATTGGCCCTTACCTCCCTTGTGAAAACATCAGCAACTCATATTTTTTCATACCAATTTCAGTGCCTCGCCATTACAATAGTATTTTTCCATAGTCAGTGGTTCAGAAACAAAGCGTCAAGGCAGGGTGACTTGAACATGCACATGAGCCATCCTGAACTTTTAACATTATATGATCCAGCCAAGCAAACTTTTAACAAGGAAAGGTTAAGGGTGTCTTTGTGTTTTTGGTTTGAAGGAAGGGATGGAGGAAGGGAAAGAGATTGGCCTCCTCACCTTGCTAATAATCCAGCCAAACAAGGAAAGGTAAGATTTTTCCCTCCTTCCCGTCTCCTCCCCTAGAATTAAACATGTACTCATATAAAATTAAAATCGTGACAAGAAATACTATGCAACACAAAGTAGATTTACACGTGTCCAGCACATCCAACAGTTCATCACCATAAACAAGTTTATGGAGAACATACCTGTTTGTCCAATGCTGAGACAATCTAAGATCAGGTTGTTGAACTCCATGATCTTGATCAAGAATGGTACAATCAGATGCAAAGAGCTATTTGTTAATTGAGGATAACAAGTTCTCTAAGCTAAACAACTATTGAGGACAGCAAAAGTAAGAAGGTAAAGTTTAAGGATACATTTGATTCACACTCACTTCTTGATGGAGACTTCTGGTTATAATTCTAACACCAAAAGCATTCAAAAAAATTAGTGAAATTCCAAAAATTGAGGAAGCGGTCCAGCTCAGCTGGTCGCTGACTCACTCTCCCATACAGGAGGTCTTGGGTTGAAACTCCATGGAGGGAGTTTCAGCCCTGTTACCCAGGATCCCCCCAGCTTCCTACCCCTGACCCCCTGGGGTAAAAAAATAAAATAATAATAATAATAATAATAATAATAATAATAATAATAATAATAATAATAATAATAATAATAATAATAATAATAATAATAATAATAATAATAATAATAATAATAATAATAATAATAATAATAATAATAATAATAATAATAATAATAATAATAATAATAATAATAATAATAATAATAATAATAATAATAATAATAATAATAATAATAATAATAATAATAATAATAATAATAATAATAATAATAATAATAATAATAATAATAATAATAATAATAATAATAATAATAATAATAATAATAATAATAATAATAATAATAATAATAATAATAATAATAATAATAATAATAATAATAATAATAATAATAATAATAATAATAATAATAATAATAATAATAATAATAATAATAATAATAATAATAATAATAATAATAATAATAATAATAATAATAATAATAATAATAATAATAATAATAATAATAATAATAATAATAATAATAATAATAATAATAATAATAATAATAATAATAATAATAATAATAATAATAATAATAATAATAATAATAATAATAATAATAATAATAATAATAATAATAATAATAATAATAATAATAATAATAATAATAATAATAATAATAATAATAATAATAATAATAATAATAATAATAATAATAATAATAATAATAATAATAATAATAATAATAATAATAATAATAATAATAATAATAATAATAATAATAATAATAATAATAATAATAATAATAATAATAATAATAATAATAATAATAATAATAATAATAATAATAATAATAATAATAATAATAATAATAATAATAATAATAATAATAATAATAATAATAATAATAATAATAATAATAATAATAATAATAATAATAATAATAATAATAATAATAATAATAATAATAATAATAATAATAATAATAATAATAATAATAATAATAATAATAATAATAATAATAATAATAATAATAATAATAATAATAATAATAATAATAAAATCCCCAAGGTGACATTCATAATAGTTCTATATCAATAAAGGTACCATGCTCGTGTGCACCAAACAATCCTCAATCAGGTTAGCAACATCAGTCATTATAGTAAAACCATTGGTGCTTTCAAGCTTCTTGTTTTCTGGAGGATTTGTCTCGGATATGGTGTCACTTTGATTGGATACCGATACCAAAGAACATTTTGTTTTCTCATCTGCTCTGACCCTTGTCTTCTTGCATTTACTGGGTAAGCAAATAGTTTCTGTCCTTCCAATATTTCTGGCTGTAACAGCTTCACCGTTAACACTCTCAACTTCTTTGGACTCGCCCTGAAGCTGAGAAACATTATCCTCAGATATCCTCTGTACAGCTTGTGTAGGAAACTGGCTTGATGTGCATACTCCAGCTTCTCGATCTTCAGAAGTTACTTCTTTAGGACAAAATGGACCTGGATCAACAACTTTTTTCTGTACAAACAATAAATAACAGATGACAGATCTAATAAATGTGAAGACAAGAGGATCCTGTTAAAAGTTTACGAACAAGTGAGAATGATGGAAGTGGCAAGGAATGAAACAGATGAAGGGAGAAGCAAACGGCTAACCTGTTTAATACACTCATAAATCCACTCACAAGTTACTGTTGGGATGCCATTATTACAAGCAAGCTCATATTTTGGGCCACTTCTGAATTTGCACAACAAATATGTGACATTTCTTCTCATTTTATCAGCAAACTTAGCTCCAAGGATAAAGAATAAATTTCTTAGCAGCTGCTTTTCTTTTTCATCGTATTGTGAAACACAGAAACGGAAGCTCTTAAATTCAGGGAAAGGTACTTCACAAGGAAGTGGAGAATAGCAAATGTGACTGCCAATGTCCAACAAGCGTCCATCCTTCATAAAAGCATTTCCAGCTTCATTAGCATTCATTTTCAACAAATGAAAACACTGCAAGTACAAGAGATACCCAGATATACATATATTACCCCTATACCAAGATTTACATATACTACCTGCGTCCAATTTTATGTGTTGTTTTGAATTGAAAAATAAATAATAATGAAGTAGTTGAAAAGTAAAAGTTTTGGTTCATGTTTGTGTAGACGGTAGAATAAAGTGAAATGATATGAATCACACATTTCTTTCCAAAAAAGGAAACAAGATGATTATTTTGGGACAACCAAAATGGGACAGGAGTATTACCCCATACACCTTTGACAGGCCACTTTAAATAGACATAAAAACATAGCGTCTCATGAAAAACAATATAACGTTTTAGAAAAATGATAAAAACTTTAGAACAACAGGAAGGTTGCGAGTTGCGACACAAAGGGTTTACAGCATAAGATTGTTCCACTGTGCTTTATTTATTTATTTATTTTTACAACAACAAAACTCAAGCTTTATTCCCATAAGTGTTTTGGGGTCAGCTAACAAGAATCGACATATTATATCGAAGTTAAAACATGAGATAGAGAAAGAGAGACAAATAATAAAGGACCAAGCCTCCACATGTATGTTCTCCCTCCACTTCGTCCTCTCTAAATTAAATTAATTGACATTATGAATTTCATGTCACTGATCTCAATTAGTAGGAATTTAAGTTGGAATTAGTTTTCTTTTAAGGTTAGAGGGTAGAAGAAAAAGTGAACATACAAATAAGTATCTAGAGATTGAGTATTGATAAGATGTTTTAAAAAACAAAGACGATATTTAAATACCAGATCATCAGAACAACATTTTATATCTTAGAGAAGTTGCGTTTATTATAGGCTGCATTTTAGTTTGTGAGAACTAGTATCACAGATTGGCTGCATTTTCGTCTGTGATACTAGTATCTTAGATTGGCATTTTCCCAAGTATAACATACAATTAAGATCTAAATTTTGCATAATAATAACTAGGTAAGTCATATTCAGAATTATACAAGAAGAACCATATATATATATATATATATATATATATATATATATATATATATATATATATATATATCCAAACAAGACTTAATCCAGTGACTAGACAAAACGCACAGGAAAACAACTCGAGTTTTCATTATAATAGAAAACGCCAGATACTCTCAAATAGATCACTTACCTCCAAACAAGACTTAATCCAGTGACTTGTCACATACGACCCTATAGCAGCATCTGTCTGGGAGGGTATCACACCATGGCATTCAATAACAAAATGCACGTATCCTTTAATCTGACTATCCACTAACTCTCCTCCACCTTGGTTCACCCACTGTACAATGTCAGCTCTCTGCCCATACACAAATGGATATTCTTCATCATACACTCATACAGATAAACAGAGATTGTGAGCAAATGGTGAGAAAAAGAAATAATATCACAGGAAATCTATGATGACTATGAATAACCTCAAGATTGTGAGACAATGTTGTACTCCCTCCGTCCCTTAAAACTTTGCCATCTTTCCTTTTTGGGACGTCTCAAAAAACTTTACAACTTTCATTTTTAATCAATATTTTGTGGTTTCTGTTATTTCTCTCTCCTTTACACAAACCTCAACCACACAATTTTTACTTTATTATTCTTCGTGCCAGTCAACTTTGGCAAAGTTTAAGGGATGGAGGTAGTATATTGGTGTTGCACTTGTGGTGCAGAAACTAGTTGGCATGCTTGAGGTTAGGGACGGATTTGGGGGGGGGGGCTACCACCCCCCTGGAACTGTAGAAAAATTTATTAAATATATAATATTTATATATTTTTTATGATTAACTATATATATAAATGTTCGTCCCCCTTAATTTAAATTCTAAACTCATCTCCAAAGTTTTAAATAAGACTTAAAGTGTGTTGTAGTGTTTTAAGGACAAACAACTAAAGTAATTTAATTTAATACTCCTTCCGTCCCAATTTGATGGTCTCGTTTCTTTTGGGCACAAATTTTAATAGAGTGGTTGAAAAGGTAAAAGTTGTGGTTGAGATTTGAGTAGAAAAAGGTGAAATGATGTGAACCACATCTTTCTTTCCAAAAAGGGAAACAAGACCATCATTTTGGGACATCCCAAGAAGGAAATACAAGACCATCATTTTGGGACGGAGGGAGTATAATTTATGTTTTCTTCGTAAATATAGAAGGTACTAATTCTTTGATTTCAGCAATATAATAATAGTAAAATTCATTAGTTTAAAATATTCGCTATCAACTCTATAATAATAGAATGTAATTTTTTAAATTCTATCTTTATAAGAAAAAAAATCTTATACTCCGTATTCTTTATCTTTCTTATGTCATATCTTCTCTCTCTCTCTCTCTCTCTCTCTCTCTTATCTTTTTATCTTCTTTTATCTTTCTTAAGTTCTTGTTATTTTTATCTTTTATCTTTCTTATGTTCTCTTATGTTACATTTATCTTTATTTTATCTTTTTTATCTTAACTTATCTTTTTATTTTACTTATCTTTCTTTTCTTTTTGGCTCCGATGGCATGGATTGACCCCAAACTCTTTAGAGAATACGGCTTGGATATTGTTGTTGTATAAGATAACAAAAAGTATATGATTGTAGAATATAAACTAAGTTATATTGAAGATTTTAGTAGAAATCAATGGGGCAATTTTCTGATAAAGTTCAAATTGAACCATATATAACCATGTGTGATATATATACAAAAATAAGTCTAGTTTCTGAGTTATTTTAAAAAACATATTGAGCAATTATTAAACATTCAAAGATTTTAGCATTAACACAGATAAAATATACACACATTACATAAACTGTCAATATTTGTATTATTAATACACCATCCGGAGTATTAAATTCAATATAAAGAATCCCATATGTAACATTGTATAGCTACATATACTTTCTTGGGCTACAAGCATTCAACTATGTATTTAAATTATTCAGGAAAAAGTTACTTAAAAATAGCATATCTGGGTATCCATCGATTAAACACTTTATTGTGTAAATAAATTAATAACTACTAAAACTTTGTGATCAATCCTAAGAGGTGGGAGGAGTAGCCCAATACCTTATAAATTGATTTCAATCTTTACATGTGGTTGGCGCCGAATGTGAGATGACTTAACATATCCCGCAAGATCGTGGCAATTGGAGCATATAAATATTGAAGTTTGTGTGCTCGTTCATGAGTCTTAGTCGGATCCATCACTTGTCTAAAGCTCGTTCTTATTAAAATTAAATTGTTTTTATACAAAACAGTGGTCCTTTTAAATATTCTATTATCTTCTTAATGTAGGTTTGCAGTGAAAACATTCACCCCTTAACATAAAATCCTAGATCAGTCCCTGCTTGTGGTGACAACATAATTACAAAATGTGGCTTTGCATAGGTAAGGAAATCAGAAATCATGTTTTGTCATTCCCAAGAAGTTCCTCTTCAAGCCTTTTACTCAACTTATAAGGTTCTACTTTTACAGTGTGGCATCCAAGAAATTCAAACTTTGATTGGAATGTAAAAGAACGAAAGTGAGTTTGGTAATCCCTTTGACCTGAGAAAGTTTGGTCAGAGTTCCTTAAAAAGGGTAAGTTTTTAAAACAGTGGGTGACTTGATCCCCCCCATAAATTACACTTGCCACTTTCTCTGGATTCTGGAGTTTAATGGCTAAAGCGTCAAATAGGTACATGAACTAACTTAAAGTGTTCAATTAGCCCCTTATATAGGAGGTTCTGCCCGGCTGTCGCCAATTGGGGCGGTTCCCGGTTGAATTTTTTGAGCATCTTCTTCATTAAGTCTAGTTTACCCATATCAAATTTCAGCTAAAAATTAAATCGGGAAGGCAGTCAAATGATTTTCCAAAATGTACTGTGTTGTTTAACTGCGCAGTTATCTTCAAAAAATCATTTGACTGCCTTCCCGGTTGAGTTTTTAGCTGAAATTTGGTATGGAAAAACTAGACTTAATGAAGAAGATGCTCAAAAATTTTCATCAAAAAATTCCACCGGGAACCGCCCCAATTGGCGACGGCCGGGCAGAACCTCCTATGTAAGGGGCTAATTGAACACTTTAAGTTAGTTCATGTACCTATTTGACCCTTTAGCCGAGTTTAATTGATGGGATAACACATTAACACTAAGCAGTTCCGGGTGCACAGGTATGGTTCATATATGGTCCAATGGGTGAGTCAGAATTTATTGCGTAAATTGAGACTAGCATAGTCCTTTAATTGGAGAAGCTTATCAATGTAGGGAAGCTTAGTTTTCTGAAAGCGTGTGATATTAATATCAAAGTGCTGACCTGCTTATCAGGGAAGCTAGCAGAGAAGCAAAACCGCTTTCCCTTAAATACAGCAGATGACTTTATATCCTCCTCAATGGCTCCGCTGGAGCTTGCTTGCATATTAATCTCATTTTTACCATTCGAAGTAGAGAACTGGGATTGACTTTCAATCTGAGAAGCTCCTCTCTTTTTTATGCCATCTACTTCTTTGCTCTTCTCCAGTGAATTTCCAGATCCAATATTCTTGTAGCACTGAACACTATCACTTGAGTTTCCTTGGTTGGAAAATGCATTGATCACAGAAGCTCCTTTATTGGAGCTGACAAGTTCTATGGGCCAAAATACACAATAAATCAAATATTGTGTACTGAAACAGCATAAATGGTACCATAACTTGTGGTATTGATGCACTTCGGTATCTCAAATATTTAATGAAGCAAATCAGTACTCTAAGTAATTTAATTGTCATAACCGGTGGTCCATTTGAGATACTGGAAAATGTCGTCTGACTTGGAAGTCTGAGCCCCACATACATTCCCCCAAAAATATACTCCTTCTGTCCCATTTTGTAAGATACACTTTCGTTATTGGGTTGTCCCCCAAATATGAACACTTTCTAAATTGAACTCCACTAACTTTTTACTTTCCCACTTTATCCATTTATCTATGATTTCACCCTTTACTTTTTGTGGACCCATCTTTCTCTTTCTTACTCTTTGGAGGTTAGAATTGTAAAACAACCACTTTATCCTTTATTTTCTTAAAACCCACACCGAACCCACATGTATCTTACATTATGGGACGGAGGTAGTACGAAATATAATATTATAATTCACATAATCAATGTTATCAAACTCAGACCAAGTAGTCTTACCGATTCTAATGATACCATACATGTAGCTAGTCTAGTCACTGCAACAATCAGAACTGCACCCGACTTAGTGATGACTGACAATCTCACACTCAGTGGATTTGTTAAGTACACGTTTTTTGTCAAATGCACAAATTTAGGCTGCCAGGTCAGATTATTTTAGCGGGAATTTCAATTCAGATGATATTATCAGTTGAGACAATTGAATGCACTTGATACTGATTTGCTTCATTCAATAGTTGGGAATTGGGAAACCAAAATGCATTATTAACAGTGAAGTGCCATTTATTCATTTAACCTTAATGATTACTCATAAAGGATAGCAAGTGCAAGCAAACATGACACTTAAATGCGATATAAGTAAGGTGTATCACGGAAGGATAGAACCCATGAGATGACAGCAACAATAATAACAATAGAAAAATACAGAGTAATCAAAGTAAGCAGACCTCTGAGTAGAAGCAAATCACTGGCAATGTGCTTTTGAAGCACACAGACTTCTTTCTTTTCACTTACGCAGTCTGCAAGCCAATCTGGTTTTACCACATGGATTACACCCAAAGCTGCAAGGTTTCTTATCTCTTTTATTTCACTACAAAACCGTAAAATTTAGTCTATGAGAAGCATATCATGATTCATGATACCAAGACTTTTGAAGTAAACTATGCACACAAGAATTGTATTGAGATAGTGTAACATCTACAAAATACATTTTCATCATAGAGCTGATAACTTAATTAGTCTGACCAGCTGGCTTGGTAAGTAATATAGTGAATCAAAGAAATAAGACAAAGCCATATAAGAATAACTTGTACTTCACAGTCATCATAAAGATTTCCACCTTGCATGTCAAGTAACAAAAGTTCATAAATAGGGCTAACACATAGCAAATTTTAACAAATAGAACTATCATTGTTTTTTCCTAGAAATAAGACTCATTAATGTTGTACTGAATCCTAATTTTAGTAGAAAACAGGGATGTTCCTATTTGTGCACATAAACCATGTTGTACTCTTATTTGCACTATTTTCTTCTAAAAATATATGGAGCGTCAGTAATTAGCTAGAGGATGAGGGCAATAGTAGTAGATCTATATTTCTACAAGTCGTAAAAAATAGTTACTGGAACATTAATATGATAATTTATTGAGTGTATCATGCACTATCTTACTGAATAATGGCATGGCAGTGACAAAAAAAACTTTGTGAATATTATTACTGCATACAAGGTAAAATTAGTTAGGGTGGAATATAGATTGAGGTCAAAAACATGTCAGCATGATAATGAAATGGAAGCCAAAAAAGTGCACTATATTAAAATGTTCCAACAAGTAGACTATCATATCTCTTGACTCTTGCAAAAGCATTAGTGTGATGATTTATTGGGCATACATCAGGTTATCAAAATCTACTTAGCGGTAGTTCATGATTTTTTGTAGAGTTATGCACAGCATGTTTCATAGATCTTACATCTCAGATGGAGATCCGACTATTATGTGTGTCAACTTCTCACTGAAAGACATATAACGGGAACCACCACCTTTACGAACCATGTTCACAAGTTTTCGCATATCGGATTCACTAAAACCAAGAATCAGAAGTCTGCAGTCTGACAAGTATAAATCGTTATCATCTGTTTTGGAGTCAGAAACAACACATTCATCAAAATTTGTATCAGTTTTTTGCTGCTCAGTGGGTAGATCATTTGATTCCCTCTTGGAAAAGAAAGGTTCCTCTAATAATGAAGGTGTGTTCTGAGAGAAGGGGGGTCCCTTATCTGAATCTACAGTGTAACCATATGAAAGAGCTTGAGAATTTGATATTGTTGCAGTGGAAGACAAAGTTTGCACACTTTGAATGCCACTCTCTATGCTGTGTTGATTTTTCATTCTTGCAGCAATCACAGTTGCTGCAGAGGTACCCTGAATAGGATATGACTCCTCATTAAGGCGTGCTGTTCATCGCAAAGAGGTTAAAAATCATTCGCTTCAGCTTTATAATATTATAGTTGGAGGTGGAACTTTGGGGAAAAAACTATGCTTCTTCAACCAACAAAAACACTACCTCTTTTAGCAACAGATTGGTCAAGCCACCTCTTGCTAACTATGTATATTGTACCCCAATTTGTGGCAACTTCATATTTATCTCCTTTAGGAGCTTATAACAGTCAAGAAAACAAATGCACCCAATGCTTAAGCAGATTCAATGCATGTGCACCTTCTAAATGCTAAGAGCCTAAGAAAACACTCATTCATCAGGACTGAAAACATGAAAGACTATGTTTGAGGGGTCGGGTTGGGGGCTCTCGAACTGGAATTTGGAAATTACCATAGCATCCCAACAAGGAAGGGAAAACCTGGGCACCAATACAGTTATACGATTACTAAATTATAATTGATGCATATCATTACACGTACTCATGATGGATCATATTTGATGCAAAATAATCTCTCCAAGAAACTGATGGTACAAGATGAATAGCGCCAATAAAAAAGGATATCCCGCAAATTAAATGTGTGCAACTTTTTGTCAGATCACGAGAATATTTGCCTCCATTTTGTAGGACTATATTTTCCACCTCCGTCTTCTCATCTGAAACAGAACATATGTATTTCAAAACAAACATTTAAAACAGTCCCATTAAATAATACGTAGTATGATTCCTGAACCTGTACTTATTCTGGTAATACAGATGGTGAGCCCAGAAAAAGGTTGGACCCTGAATGACTCTGGAGCAACAAAGTGATGCTCCTTCCAGCACTGGAGTAGCCAAGTAATACTAACAATTGGTTTCTTCCCTACATTTAGTGCCCACTACAAATGTACCACATAAAGAGCGAAGAAAGAACTAGTTAAGGGATACAACAAAAAAGTAAGAAAAAATGTATGTTATTAATGATGTCAGTGAAAATGAAAACAAAATGAAACCTTATACTCGAGCTTAACAGACATTTAACTCGGTTCAGGCAGGAAGGCTGACTAGGCCTTTCCAAATTGCACACATTTCAAGAGTTATGGTCGTATACTATTCCAATAATTACGCCTTACAAATATTTTCATCATTTCAAATAGAGCCAAAGACTCGGTAATTTTTGGCTTGGGGATATGATGGAATAAAGCAAAATGGCTTATAAACTGTCTGCGCTTCTTTGTGATGAAGCAGCAATCAGTCCATGCAACTTTCGACGCAATTTTCATCATGGATCATCCGGAAGCAGTCTGTGTTTAGTACAAGGTAAGGTTGCGTACATCTGACCCCCCTTACCCCACCATAGGTGAGACCGTGAGAGTCTTTTGCGGCACAGAGATAATGTTGTTTTTTGTTTAATAAAGCCTTAAAAATCCTACCCACAGAGTCCTTGATGAGCAAAAAATAGAATATCAAATTAATATAGGTATGCCAACTAATAGCATAACAAAACTGATAAAACAAAGCTAATAGGAATAAAACTGTTGCGGATCATTAGAAATCCCTTTTGTTGTAGGCTCATTCTAGCAACGTATGTTGTGGTGGCATCATAGCGATGATATCTCCTCTCATAAGCAGCATCCATATCACCACCACCCTTGTTGACCAAGAGCATATTTGCAAGCTCAAATCAGGATATGTCTCACGTAAAGAGTCCTCCGTTGGAATATGCTCTAAGGCAATCATAGAATATGATGTGTGCTTAGTTATTTTTAGTGATCATTCATTTAATAAAATTATGAACTCTTCTGTAGTATTTTTAGTACACTTTATTATTAATTTGTCATTGAATAATATATTTAGTACCTGAATAAGTATATGATTTGATTGATGGATACTACACATTCTGATAGGAACCAGCCTATTAGAGTAGTAGAATATTATTAGAAATAATAATAATAATAATATTAGTAATAAGTGTTTGTAAGTATTCTAGTATAAATAGACGGGAAGGGGGATTAGTAGAGGGGAGGCTTTTTTGGGGACATTTGTCTGGGACTAAGAAGATTTGAGACTAGTCGTCTCTATCTTTGGGAGGCTTCGGCCTTGTTACTGTTTTCATTCTGTAATCGATATCTCCATCAATAAAGTTTTTCAGCTGATTTCTTGTTAATCTTGTGTAATTGTTCGGGATATTTGGAGGTATCTATCATTGGTATCAGAGCTGTTACTTCCTGGAGACGGTGAATCTGAATCATCGAAACAATGGAGGAATTCGAGATGACACCGCAAATGGAAAAAAGTTTTGATAATATAGACCGACATATGAGGGAGATACAAGCGAGTATGGCCGAGTCGCAAGAAAAGATGAAGACGATGATGGTCGCTATGCAAGAAGCGATGCAAGCGAGCGTCGCAGATTGGCAGAACCGACTTCAAAATCATTCGTGACATACATCGCACCATTCGCACCGATCTTCGCATCGCTCATCCCACCCTAGCTCTTCGCATCGCTCCTCTCCTCACTCGTCGCAGAAGGAGTTGCCGATGAAATCGAACTACTTCTCACTCGCAGAAGGAGTCGCGTCATCGACATAAGCAACAATCGACTAACTCAGAGGCATCGGAAGACCGATCGAGGAATCGATCAAACACCTCGCATCGATTTCCACATCAGGGAGAGGTTGACAACATCGCACTTCTAACAAGGAGCCATAGGCATCATTCATCGCAGTCGCTCACCAAGTCGCAGACTGAGTCGCTAAGGAGGACTCCTAGTTCGCGTTCAAGAGAGACGCGAGTGAGAGGAGAGTCATCATCTTTATCACCAGAGAAATTTCACTCTTATTCTTCTTCTAAAGCAGTTTCTCTGAAGTCAGCTATTTCAAAGGAGGAAGAATTACCTCTATTCTACGAGCATGAAGCATATGAATGGATAGGGAGGATGGAAAGATATTTCAGAGTCAAATCTATTGCAGAAAGATTTAAGGTGGATGTAGCAGCAAAAGCAATGGGGGAAGCCGCAAATGGCTGGTTTCAATGGTGGGATTTTCAAAAGAGAGAAGAAAGTTGGCAGGCTCTAAAAGAAGATTTGATTAAGGATTTTCCACCTAGACACCGGCAGAAGACAGGGAAGACAGCAAGACAGGAGTCATCGAGATCAACAAGAACTTCCTACAGTTCGCAAAAGTCATCACCAACATCATCCTCCAGTTCGCAGGCTTCAATTGCTACTACCAGTTTACTTAAGAAGCAATCCAGATGTGAAGTTTCCAGCTCGCAATCCGGAACTGTTTCTGTCAGACCTGCAGCAACTTGTCTCAGTCCACAAGAAAATTTGGAAGGAATGGAAAATGTGGATTCAGATTTAAACTCATCTCCAAAGGATGTTTTGATTGAAGAAGTAAGTCTTACTCTTGGACTAGAAGACATGACACACCAAGTGAAAAAAATTGATGTCAGGAGAGGGGGTAGTCCTATGGCTTCATCTGGAGAGTTCAGAATAGCAGATTTCTTAAATGAGAAGGCAGTGGGAAATTTGGTGGAACAAAATAGTGAAACCAAAGGAAAGATGAAATTGATACTTAATTTGGAAATGGCCATGTCTTTTTTGGGTGGAAGATCTGATTACCTGCTAGGACACCAACTTTGGAAATTTTACTTGGAAAATAATCTTTTTTGTTCCTTAGTTAAGAGAATTGCAGCGGGAAGAGTAAATCAGTTTACTTGCTTGCTAAAACCTTTTAGACTTTCCTTTTCAAATGAGGTAGGTAAGGAATTAAAAGAGGAAAATGTTGATAGGAAAAACCGGAAAAAAAAAATTGCAGCCAATACTGTACTAGTCTCAGAAGATAGAAACTATGAGGAGCTGCAGAATAGTAATGAATTAATTTCTGCTATGGAAGGCTGGAAGAAGGCTGAACCAGATGAAACTGTTACCTATGCTGTCTTGAAATTGAATCCAAATGTTTTGTCTTCTGGCTTGAGTTCTTGGTCCAATTTTCGGGAAGAAAAGGCTCCTTATTACTCAGGTTGGAGTAAGAATGCATACCAAGATGGTGGATATTGCTATGTGATGGTGGGCAATGATCAATGTATCTCAAGAGTTTCATCTCTGAGTTGTTCTATTAGAAAGGGGTTGGGAGTAGGATTGACTGAGAGTGATATGATAAAGGTTAGAGAAATGCCAGTGGTCTGTTTACTTGTTCCAGATGGGGGTGGAGTTGGTGACTACCAGTTTCAGTTGGCTGTTGTGAATGCTGCAATATCAAGGAATGAAGCAACTGAAACTCAAGGACTTGAGTTATAACCTGAAGCCAGAGCTATTAACAAATGGAAGAGTGAGCAATGGATGATAGGTGAAGATGTTGGAAATATAGAAGTGGAACCCTATTTGCTGGAAAGAATAGTTGAGTATCAATGTGCTGAGTATCTATGTGCAGCTCTTCCTTTGCTTAGCAATACCACAGTATACATCTGGCAGCACAGAGCATCAGAATCCAGATTGGTGGTGGGGTTTGTAAGCTGCCAGACATCTTTGGGTCTTCAGGCAATGAAGTTAATGGCTCCTCAATCAGTTAGGTATTGGGAAGGTAGAGGAGCAAGAAAGAAGAAGAAGCAAAAGATCTTGGCGGTTTTCTATCGCCCACCTTGAGGGCAAGGTGGATGTTTAGGGGGGAAGTATTGATAGGAACCAGCCTATTAGAGTAGTAGAATATTATTAGAAATAATAATAATATTAGTAATAAGTGTTTGTAAGTATTCTAGTATAAATAGACGGGAAGGGGGATTAGTAGAGGGGAGGCTTGTCTGGGGACATTTGTCTGGGACTAGGAAGATTTGAGACTAGTCGTCTCTATCTTTGGGAGGCTTCGGCCTTGTTACTGTTTTCATTCTGTAATCGATATCTCCATCAATAAAGTTTTTCAGCTGATTTCTTGTTAATCTTGTGTAATTGTTCTGGATATTTGGAGGTATCTATCACATTCTTACAATCATAATATTTAATAAGTCTATGGTCTATTATTATATGAGAATGAGACATTAATAATATAAAGTTAAGTATGTAGATTAGTTTATGACTATGTTCAGAAAGCTATACATAAAACAGATCAAGTTAATCACATAAATATTTGTTAAAAAAACAGATTCATTGGACAAACCAACCTAGGACTCCACAAGTTTGTGTCTCATCAGAGTAGTCATGATAGGAACTTGGGCCTAATAGACTAATAATAATAAAAATAAGGGACCGGGCCTATTAGAGTATTAATAATAAGAAGTGTATTAGTCTAGTATAAATAGAAGATAGATGGGAAGAGTTAGGTAGGCGGTTTTAGACGTTTCAGACTGGGACTTGGGAAGATCGAGAGCTTTCTCTTTCTTTGGGGGGCTTCGGCTCAATTGGGGGCTTCGGCTCAATTGGGGGCTTCGGCTCAATTGGGGGCTTCGGCCTGAATTTCTCTATTCTACTTCTGTAATTGTTCTTCATCAATAAAGATTCATCTGTTTCTTGTTGATCTTTCTATTAATTTTCTGAATTTCTGGAGGTCTCTATCAATTGGTATCAGAGCATCGATCGCTGGATGAGATACACGCGCGCCAAAATGGAAGGAAGAATTAACGAAGTTGAGAGGAATATGGTTGATTTTGTAAGAAATCAAAGGGAAATGCAAGATCATATGGACAGGCGGATGCGAGAATTGCAGAATATTATGGCGGCAAACATGGCGGAGAGTTTGGCCGCAGTACAAGCATCAATGGAAGCTACGATGCGAGCGACGATGCAAGCCAACTTTGCGGATTTTCAGAAGAAATTTTCAGATCGATCGAGAAGTCACTCGCATCGATCCAGTACATCGCATCGTTCCAAGCGTCACCGGAGTTCCAAAAACGGAGGCAGTTC